TTCTAGATCCTTATATAGTTTAATAAATTCCCCCTTTTAAATTATAAGTGATAAGCCTTATCTACCTTCTGCATATGCCAAAGGCATAGTTTGGGGCTGTGTTTTGTTTTTCCATATTGCTTGTGTGAATTCTAACATTTCAAAACTTCCTCAAGTCATCTTGCTGAGCCAGGGAGATGGATACAAATACAGGTGGTTTCTCTCTTCTGTTGTAACTCTTTGTTGTAAATTTTAGGTGCAAGATTGCTTCTTTATTTGATTACTGTGATATGTTCCTGCCCAAGCTGCAGTATAAGGAATAGTTTAAAAAAAAAAAAAAGAGCTTATTGTGCTGTGAACTTGATAATGTGCTAAGCATTTTCTACATAACAATTGCAACCATTCCTTGAAATAATCATTACACATATGAATAAAATGAGGTTCAGAAAGATCAATTATTCAATCAAGTGTGCACAGGCGGTAAATGGCAAAGCCAGGATTCAAACCCAAGTATGCCTGAAGTCCAAACCCTGTGTCCTTAACAACTGTCGTGTTATCTCGGCGTATATCGTGGGGTAACAACTTTCTTGTTTACATTTGCACAAAGTCTTATGTTTTGAACTCTTACTGGCACATCCATTTAACATATTTGATCCTCATCGTGTTCTGCGATGTTAGATGAAAGACTGATGCTCAGAGAGGATGACCCAGGGTCATAAAGACAGCAAGTCATAGTGCCAGCAATTGAACATGTGTCTTTGAGCTGCTGCCCTAGTGTAAATTCCATAAAACCAAACTTATTTCCTAGAAAAATTTCTCAAGAAGTTTAACAATAAGTCATAATGGAAAAAATATGAAAAAGAATATGTATACATGCATAACTAAATCACTTTGCTGTACACCAGAAACTAACACAATATTGTTAATCAACTATACTTCAATAAAAAATAAATAATTTGGCTTTTGACTTAAAAAAGTGGCATCAAACCTTAAAGAAACAAAAATTCAAAAGCATAATAAATCAATCATAAATAAGGAACAAATGCTGTATTAATCACAAATGTTGGAGGTAACACTGAACAAAACTTGATTTCCCCCTCTTGCCTGTTTCACATCCCAACCAATGTCTGGCCAGTCTGAATTTGTGACAACACCAATAATGATGGTAGTCAATATAACCCAAACCTCTATGATTCCCTGTCTTGTCAAGGATCATCTTATACTGACTAGTCTGCTTCTCCTACCAAATTCTGATGTGACGTACACACAATATTTCTTATAGGTCTTCCCACAGAGCGGGTGCTCACACAAAGTTTGTTGAATAAAAGCAGAAGGTGTTTTGGCTAACATATGTAATAATAACATTTACTGAGTCTTTAATCGTTGATATATGCCAACCACTCTTGTAAGCACTTTAGGTATATCAAAACATGTAATCCTAACAACTGTCTTATTTCACTTCAGTCTCACAGGTACAGAAAATGCAGTACAAAGAGTTCAAGTCATTTGCTGGAGTCATATTATAGTAGAGGCAAGGTAAGAATTTGAACTCAATGCAGTTTAGAAAAACCAAGATTTCAAACTCATCAGCACTTAGCAATTCTGTTAGGTGGTATTCTTTTAGTCTTGTATCTGTTTCATAAAAATACTGAATATGTATTCCAGTAGTGTTTTGTTACTGAATTGATGTACCGGATGAAATACCATTAGAAAAAAGACCTTCTAAAAGAATTAAATGGTACTCCATCTTTTTGAGACCAGATCAGAAAAAAAGAAATGCTGCTTCGGCATATACTCTGCTGAGTATCTGACAAGAGCCCACAACAGGCAGTGGAAGATGATAGCGTGGGGCCTGGAGCAAGGCAAGCAGGCCTGAGACCCAGCTCCATCCCTGTTTGGGGCCAAGGTCCTAGAAGTCTCCTCTTAGACAAGAATCTCTGTGCCCCTTTGGCATGCTGCCAAACTCAATGTGGAGTTTCATCTGGATTGTGTCCAGGCACACAAACTACAGTCCCATATATTTGGGGCTTAATCTGCATTAGTTACTCTCCATCAGCTCTTGTTTCCCCTCCCCCTAACCTGGGGACTGTCCTTTTTAAACTTGCCCTATGACTTTCAGATTTGAACTTGACAAATCAGTGAGCAGCACCAGCTGGAGATCAGAAGGTGAGGAGAGAGAGAAATCGAGGTGTTCCCTTCACACTACCCCTTGCGGGGCCATAGTTTGACAGTGACTCTTTCTTCTATCAAGAGTCACTGTCAAACTATGACAAGTTTGACAAACAAGGAGCCACAACTCCTGTTGAATGACCCTCCTGTGTCCAGGTAAAACTCTTACTCTTGTGGCATCCCAATCGCCCAGCTCCCCCTCTGTGTCCTCCCATTCTGTTGATAGCCCTTGGTGCTCCTCCATCTCTTACTGGTTCCTTTAATCCTGCCCACACCTCTCTTTTTGTAAATTCCTTTCATTGAATTTTCTTTGCTCAAAGCCCTGAATGTACATTTTCTTGCTAAGGACCAATAGATCCCATATCTGTATGGGTATTCCCAATGTGGATTTCAACAAGGTGGAGAGCCACAGCATACCTGTTTCACTACGAGCTTCCATGTGACTGTCCCTTCTCTCCCTATGTGTCACTGGACCAGGAGGAATGGCCTTTCATTCTTCCCTTTGAGATAAATACATCCCTTCCATCATACCTTGAATTTCACTTCTCATGGCTTGGAATAAAGACCAATTTTCAGCCTCCCATCTTGATGTGCCAACAAAATATCAAGGAATTGGGAACATCTTTTTCTCTCTCTCAAGAATGTGTGATTTTAAGACTATAGCCATGCTAATTCCCCCAAAACAAAAATAAAGTAATAGCTAATTTAAGAGCCAAGCCTAACTAAGGATGCCACTTTTGTGGTTGGTATCTGCTTTCTTCCTTCTGGTATTTTATGCCTCATGATTTGAAGTTGTTGGAGACAAATATAATTTACCGAGAAGAAAGGAGTAGAATCTATCTATTAATAATGTAATATTATCTGTACTGCGTGTTAGAAGATAGGAGATTCCTTAGAGGTCCACCAACCCCACCTCTCATTTTACAGATATAAAGGTTAGTAAGATAGTAACATTCTTATGATAGGCAGAATGATGACCCTCAAGGATGCTCATGCCCTAATCTTTTAGAACCTGTGACTAAGTTATGTTATATGGCAAAGGGGAATGAGGGTGGCAGATGGAATTTAGGTTTAAATAACTAACTTTAAATAAAGACATTATCCTGGATTATCTGGATAGACAAAATGTAATCACAAGGGTCATTAAAAGTAGAAGTGAGAGGAAGAAGAGAGAGGTGGGGAGATGGAAGTGTGGGAGAACTTGGCCCAATGTTGCTGGATGTAAAGATGCAGGAGAGGGCCACAAGCCAAAGCTTCTAGAAGCTGGAAAAACCAAAATCTCCCTCAGAGCCTCCAAGATGAAACAGCTCTACTAACACCTTGACATTAGCCTGGTGAGACCCATTTTAGGGCTTCTGACCTCCAAAATTGTGAGATAATAAATTTATATCATCTTAAACTATTGAATTTATGACAATTTGTTACAGCAGCAAAAGGAAACTAATACCATTCTAACCCCCAAAATCCTTATGTCTCTGGCTTAGAGTTTTAATCAGTAATTATTTATTGAGCATTTTCAACAGATCATGCACTCGGCCAGACACTGGATATATAACAAGAAATAAGATAGACATGGGTCCTCCCCTCTTAGGTCTTACAGTCTGAAGGAAGAGTCAGAAAGTTAAACCAGCATTAACAGTGACTCAGGAGAAGCACTGTTCAGTGGAAGGGCAGTGTGCTTGGAAGACCTAGCAGGGCAAGTGACAGGAGGGGTCAGGAAAGGCTTCTGAAGAAGCGACTTCAGTTGAAAACTGCAGGGTGAGCAGAAGTGAGCTGACCATGGGAACGTGAGTGGAATTGGGAGTTGGGGCATGATAGATCTAAACGGAAGGAAGAGCATGTTCCAGAATAAAACAGCAGGTCTTGGTGACCCAAAAGAAAGTTCTGCATGACTGGAGCAAAGGCTTAAGGGAGAGCATGGTGAGAGATGGGGTTGTCGATGTGAGCAGGGGCAAAGGGTCAGCGTTACACATGCCATTTGTGACTCTGGACTCTTTAGTTACAGAATTTGGGGGATACAATTCAATACTATTAGTAAGATGGTTCCTATAGTACATATTTAATCATTTATATTGTAATTTTATGTATAATACTAATTAAATGGTCGCACAAAATTACAAAGAACTCAAAGAAAGCTAATGTGGCTGGAGGTGAGGAAGAGAGCGAGAGAGCAGCATTGGAGGGACTGGTGAGACAGCAGTGCCACTCAAGGTAGGGTCTGATAAGGCTGGGGACAATCCAGGAGTGTTTATTAAGTTGTGTGGACAGGTTAGCTGAAGAATAAACTATTGATGATTGATGCAAAGATTCACAAAGAGAGATCACGAGATTCACAAATGAATGAGAGTAAAGGTATAAATAACGTTACCATTTACGGACACCAACATCCATGGATCAAATACACTCCTAAAACAAGTCTCAATGCCGACTCATGTGGAAAAGGGGGGAGTGAATGTACATAAACTCCTATGGTATTTTGTTCAGTTGTTTACTTGATTAAGTTTCTACATCTCTTGGAAAGGAAATTTTAATGCAAGAATGTTGACTCCCATTATGCCAGGCCCTCTCTCTAAAATTACAAGAAGCTCCTTAAATCAACCCCCTTTTAGGTCCACTGCCCCATCCTCTGACATTAATCAGAGCACAGTTTTTGATATCCTTAATGGGAAGGAAGGTGACAGAGGAAGGGAAACGAATATTTTATCATATCAGTGAATTTGCTGTGTATGTAATCCTATTACATTCTCTCGGCAACCTCAGAGAAGTCTGAGTAACATTCCAGGTTATCAAGCTAGAAATAGCAAAACTGTGATGTTGGTCTCAGATCAAAGCCCAACTTTATTCTATCTTACCATGCTGAGCAGCAGAAAACAGTGAGAAGCGACTTTCTTGCTGCCTCTTCAAAGTCTACGAATGTGTCCAGAAGAGCCTAGAAAAGGGAAAAAGAATGCTGAACTTCTGAATAAATTCAGCTTCTATTTTTTGAGCCACTATTACCTATCAAGTTTCATGTCTGTAGATTTAATGATGAAAAAGACAGGGTCCAAACCCTCAGGCAGCTAGACAATTTTATAAGACAGTCATTCTAGAAAAAATGCAATTCAATGTGATCACTGCTTTTGGGGAATGGGTGTCAATCAGGTCCAGAGAAGACTTCCGAAGAATAATAATCTACACACACACGAGCAACAGAAGAGCAGTTGTCACTAAGGAAGTTCATACTATGTGTAGATGCTTGAGAAGATCAATTTAGGGTTCAGAAAACCTTGGGGACTGAGGATCTAATGTACAGCATAGTAACTATGGTAACCATGGGACGTGATGAATTAAGTGTTAATTAAATGTACCAAATCATCACACTACACTCTTTTAAGTATATACAATTTCATTTGTCAATTTAACCTCAGTAAAGTTGAAGGGAAAAAAAAACACTTTGGAGATAGCAGGCATGTGAATCTCCCATCACCTCGAATTCCACTTATACATCTGTAAATATTGCCATTAACTATGGTCTCTGCATGAGTAGAATCCCTTACTCCTGGGACTCACCATGTACGTGAGCCCCCTGGAAGAACCAAGCTAAGTATGACTTCAGCTCTATGGCCTCTTATGAAAGCACTAGAGCCCAGCCATTCTCCAGAAGAAAATTTCCTGTCACCAGCACTGAATAATTCATTAATAATGAATTAATGAAATAATGAATTGGCTGAAATAACATTCTAAAATGTCAAGTTCAGAAATAAGAAACATTTGTGCTCGCTTTGGCACCACATATACTAAAATTGGAACAATACAGAGAAGATTAGCATGGCCCCCGCGCAAGGATGACACGCAAATTTGTGAAGCGTTCCATATTTTTAATGAATATATATATGTTCATGTATAATTGAAAAATTGTGCTTTACACTGGAATTTGACACAACATTGTAAAATGATTATAAATCAATAAAAAATGTTAAAAAAAAGAAATAAGAAACATTTTAAAGGCATTTATTTATTCAACAACTAAGTATTAAGCACTTCATCTGTGTAAGGCACTGTTCTGGGTTCTGGGTCCTGCTGCAAGTGTGATGAATAAGTTAGACACAGTCCCCCGCTTCAGACAACTCACAAAGTAAAATAATTAGACAGTGGACAAGATAATACTTTACCAAAAAGGATACAGATTTCACTCCTAATATGTCTAAAGGCTGTATGGGTCCTATCTGGTTTGGGACGGGTCATTCTTGAAATCAGTAATGCTAGAAATCACCTTTGTGCTGAGGTGATATGAGTTTTTTGTCCCTTTAGATTTACTCTTCACCCATTTCAACCCTCCTGTTTGTCTTGTGAAGTTGACCAACATGGACCCCATGGAAATGAATGAGTTTTGGCTTCTGCTTGGCTAAGCCAACTGGAGGGCCCCCACGACCACACTGTAGGGGAGAGGACCCGCGTGGGGCCTGGGCCCTCAATGCGAGGCTACCGCTTCTCTCAAAGTGAACTGATTTTAGTGACTCTCTTTGAGGTCCAATATCTGCTCTCTTCTCTGTCAGTTATGACTCAGGAGTGGTAGCAACTCAGCCACTCTTTATCATCTGAAAGTTATTGCGTGATTCCTTGGGTTTCCCCTCTACCCGCTTGCATCATTGTAAATAGTCCCTTTGTAAATGACTCATCCTTAAATTATCCCAATTTGAGCATTTTCTGATCCTTGTTGGGACCTTGACTAATACTTTGCTACACCCATTTCTACCCTTTACTTATTCTTCTAACATTGATTGACACTATACCCTCAACCATGTGACGAGGAGGACACACAGATAGACGCTATATAATATCTGCCTAAAATAAGCACCCTTACATACTCTTAGTGGGAACTTAATAAAATGTCAAAATTTTGAATGCTCTTACCCTTTGACCCAGAAACACCATGCAAAGAATTTACCGTGTTTATTGTAGCATTATTTGTAATAACAAAGTACAGAAATCACTGGGTAGATACATTATAGGCAACATCCAAACAACAGAATGATGTGCAGATGTTAAGAAGAACACAATAGCTCTGTATGTAATAATATTTGAAAAGTTTCCAAGACGCATTAAGTGAGAAATTGAAATACTCAATAGTATTTTATATACCTTTTTGGGCAAAATATACAACATGGTGAGTCTACTATATGAGCGGGCCTACACGTAAAATTTGTTTTTTTTTTTTTTTTGGACATATAGAGAAAGAAATTTTGAGAGGGATACAAAGAGAGGCTAGGGAAGAGAGATTGTTACTTCACATTCTTCTAATTTTCAGTGTCTGTTTTATTTTTTAAAAAATGGGCTTGAATTAATTTTTTAAATAGGATAAAAATAGAAATAGTGATGTAATTTCAACCCCCTACTTTGCTTAGCCTAATAGAGGAGTTCCGAAATCAAAGTAATTCAGAGGAACTAGAATAACTCCCTAAAACAAATTTACAAGAAACCTCAGTACATTAAACAATATCACTTGTGAAACCTGAAATGGGAGCATTTTACTTCACTTACTTCACATGAAAATCTATTGAAACCGACTTCAAAGGCTGAACCACATGTCCTTGACAGCCATCAGGGGCCTGTTAACATAACCTCTGCCTGTTTCCTCTCTTATTATTTTTGCAACACAATTATAACTGAAAGTCTCCAAACCTTGTAATTGTCAACTAACTTTTGGAAAATGCGAATGGTTGACCAAGGATTTAATGGGAAGGCCCCTCCTACCCTCTCTGAACTTTGTGGTGGTCTTCGGGTACAGAATGACCTAGCTCTAGCAGTTCTCAAAGACGAGCCAAAGAAGAAAATGATTGTCTTTTCGGAAAGGGTTTCTCTGTGGACAGCAAAAGATCTCAGAGAAGGAATCTGTATAATATTATTTCCTTTTCCCAGAATTTATTGGCATCTATCCAAGATTTTTCACTGAAAATTTACTTTCTCCTATATATAGATAGTTTTGATATTTGAGCCCAGCTGGGTCAGCCATTTTTGTGCAAAGTATATTAATATTCTGTCCATGCTTCAGGCACTCTTATTAATCCAGCACAGTTTCATATCTCTTCTTTCTGTTTCTGCTTCTCACAAATAATCACCACCAACCATAGACAGCAGATATTCCCGAAAGTACAAAATAATAGCTAATGCACATATGAAGCCATTCTGGGCTTAAATTTCCTTCTAGAAGAATTCAGATCATAAGCATTGTAAATTCTCATAAAACTCCCATGCACACAAGCATATTGCATTAGTTATTTTCCATTCTGTTTGTTTATTTTTAAGCAAACAGATGACACAGCATCTATTGTGATTATTACTCATGTGTCTGTGTGGATGGTCTTGCCCAGCAATGTTATGCTGTTAATATTACTTAGCATTACTTCTGTTAGCTCAAAACACTATTCTTTGCTATTTTTGAACAGTGTGATTAGTTACTGTCTATTGAACTTCAGGCGGTTGCTGGACTACGCACATTACATGTATTGTTGCATTTCAACTTCATGATAGCCTGTGAAATAAAGATTTCAATTTCTATTTTACAGATGAGAAGGGGAGGTTCAGGAACATTATCTGGGGTCACACAACTAATAAATGGTGGAGCCAGTGTTTGTCTTCAATGTACATGTCTTTCAAGTCCCAAGAGGAGGACGAACATCACAGAGCTTTAAATGATCAAAGTGGCCACTATTTTATCTCTAAATAAAATGAATAACCAAAAAGCCCCAATAACTTTCCTGCAGCCAAAATGAACCAGCGTAAAAAACCGAAGTTAGAAACAGCTGATATTTTCAACCCCCCATACTTTTCTGTCCCCAACTGAAGCTTGAAAAGACCCTTCTGTGGGTTTTCCTGGAAATATTCATATTCTCCAAATCTCTAGTTAGAAGGGCTTTTATTCTACCATATTTGGGCAGCATAACTACAAAGTGAAAGAGAGATGACAAAACTCAAGAGAACGCATCACAAAAAGTCCCTTTCCTAATTATTTTAAAACACAGACAATGGCCAAGAAGACCTTTGTTTTTGAAAGAACAAGGTTTTCCTTTTCCAGAGAAACTGTTCTCACTTCCTTTCCTAGAAAGAAAAGGGCAACAATCCAAAGAATTTCTTAGGCAAAGTACGAAGTCATAGCCACGAGAATCTTGGAGAGGGCCTTTAATAAATGTATGAATTAAACCAACGGCCACACGGATTGGGCAACGGTATGCCTTCCTGTCGGCGATGTGCCCGTCCTCTTAGCAGAGTGTATGGCTCAGTCACCATATTCCTTTGAGCTCAGAGTCATTATAAGAATGAACAATCCATCATCCAGTCAAAACCATAGAATGCCAAAGCTTCAAAGGGCTACAGAGGTCTTTAATTTCAGCTTCCCCAATTTCTCCCTGCCCTAGCACCCACCCCTCAACTCACATTTCACAGGTGAAGTGTGACATGACTCTTGCCTTGCCAATAAATAGCTAAATTAGTCCTCTAAACCAAATATCCAAATTTCCAACTCTCTGTTCATTCCACGACACGGGACGACTTCACTACGAATTGTTAACAGTGGGTGATCAAATGTCTCTAAATCTCAAATTGCCAAATCTGTAGAATGAGAAGCATAATGGTACTTGCCTTATAGGTTTGCTGTGAGGCTTAACAGACAAAACAATGACTGTGAAGAGGTGATACACAGTGAGCGCCAAGTTGGTATGTTACTATTATTATCATCATCATTATTAATGGAATGCTTTTTGAATCAAAATTTTATTCTCTAAGATTTTATCTTTGCTCAATTTGTAAGCTGAATTGTTAAAGTATAACATGACAGGTATATAATACATAATTCTTCCTCCTATTTTCCCTTCCTCTGGGTTAACTTCCACGTGATGAGGAGAAAGAATTCTGGATAACCAGGAGAAGGGCAGTAAGACACAGGGGAATGGG